CTCTGAGGATCTGATCCTGCAAAAACGTAAAAGTCTGCAGCAGCACTAATTAGATCACACATTATATCATTGTCAACGCCTACCAAAGAGGAAGTTCAGCCATTGTTGAAATTTTTTATCTCGGAATGACATGCAGTGCGTCAGAATGAAAATGTACTAATTTACGCAAAAAATATGATAAGAGAGTAATTTGGAAAAAAAAAATGAAAGCTAATGTGAAAAGCTGGCCACACTTGGAACAATTTCCTGATCTTATTGAACTTATTTATGATATGTTAGAAGACAGAATTAGAGAGCATTTTCTCTTACGCCAGCAGCAATGAAATAACCAAGAGGGTTAAGAAAGTATTAACTTATTAACTGCCATGATCCCTATTTGAGGATTTGTCTTAGTAGCGGAAATTGGATAACTTTAATTAGGTTGGCAACAATGGTTACTTTTTTACATTGTTATATAAACTTTTCTCAAGTTTTTGCATGAGTTGTTGAGTAGTAGTTGTTAAATGAGTGATCTGGAGAATATTATTTGCGTGAAGAAGTAAAATTTGTGCGAGTTTCCAAGATTTCAACATTTTCAGACTGCGGTAAGTCAAATTATTATGTACATCATTTCCAACTCCTGTGTACTGTAGTGTTCTGTAATGGTTTTTAACATATATTTACTAACTATTTATTGTCAATGTGAATTTTATTTTCCGGGAGGACTACTTGAATGTCGATTCGTATTTGAAGCTCATGGCATATTCCATCTATATACCATTTATATTGAAATTTCCAGCTCTATGTCAATCTAGACACTCAGAAATAAATGTAAATTGAGAGGAAAAATTTGGCAGTTAATGAGTTGAAAAAAGGAAGTTAAGAAAGGAGACAAAGTTAAAAAGGGTAAAAATCCTTTGCTCGACTCGTTTGTAGTACTGCAGAGATCTGAAAAACTTCACAGCTAAGCTCATTTGTTGCGTTCTGCTAGGATTTAATTTTATTTTAGCAACCGCTCTGATAAGTCATCTGTGATGTATTTAAAGATATTTTAAAAATACCATTTATGAGGACTGAAAATTCAACTCGGGGGGGGGGGAACACTACTAATAATTAACCTGGAACACGACTAAGAATTAACCAACTAAACCTGGAAGATATGGAATATGGAAACAAGTGCTCCTTTGAGTTTGCTTAATGTATTTGTCATTTGTCAAGAAAGATGATAAAGTTCTGAAGTTGTAAGCTTCTGCATTTCGCATCTTTTCAGTTTCAATAATACCCTGCATGGAAATGGTTCTCTTGCCAACCGTGATAATACCAAAAGAAAATTGATCTTATTTTTAGAGGAATAATCATTAATTGGAGAAATACTTAGAAAGCTGACTACATATTAAAGGTTCTAAAATTAAAAAACACAAATAATCTGCATAACTACTGTTGAGCAATACTTCGTTAATGCGTATAATTAAACTAAATACAACATTTGATACAAAACTCACAGTAAGGCTTAAAATAAGGCCTTGGAATTTTAAAATGAATTACAAAACGAAGCATTACGGTTAGATAATAAATTAATGATTAAATGAAATCTAAAACATTCAAACTGAGTTTACTGTTTAGTAACTTGTGAAACTTGTGTAAATGGAATTACGAAAAGTGGCATTGCAAATACGTTTTATGCATCGTTTTTACACAGTATATTTCGGCATTGATTTTAATTACATTCAAACTTAATCGCAAAGACAAAATACGTATTCCTATTAAAAGTCTCATCCGATCGAAAAGTATTTTTCGCAACTGTTTAATTGACGCAGAATAGAAAATGAAATTCTTTTGTCATTTTCAAGCGAGTTTGTTTCTAGGCAACGGTTGCGTTGATGCTATTTACTATTCAATCTCATCAGGTTTGAGACGATTACCATGGAATTCGTTTTTTGTTTATGTTGTGGAAATTCGTGTAATTTTTACTAAATCAGAAGAAATAACTTTCCATTTGCTTTCAAATAGTTAGTACTATTTCCAGTCTTCTGCTTCAGCACATGTAAAGGAAATAATTGGAAAGAATTAATCTTACAGCTTTTATTAAAGCTAGAGATTTGTTTCGGAAAGAATTTCGTGTCTAAGAAAAGCAACAAAAGAAATGATGTGAATGTCGAAAAATGTACACAATTTTGTTAAGTCATCAATATTAAATGAAGGAAAGAAGGAAAGCGGGACTATATACGGATTTCAATTTTAATGTCATTTTTGATGGATCTTGATAAAACATATTCCTCCAATACAAGGCATAAACATGTTTTATGGATGGATATGCTTCATCAGTGTTTCTTCATTCTTGCACATCGGATAAACTCTTATACTAACCGTTAGACTAAAAAATATGGGAAAGATAATTTGTAATGAAGAACAGATGTAAAATGAAATTATTTATTATAAAAAATCTACCATAAAAATGATACCTCTTGTGATACATTTATTAAAGCAAATTTACCTATTCCTAAATATAATGCTGAAACCATACCTGGTGATTCGTTATCCAAGGTTTACGGAATGAATGCTTCAGGACATAACAGACAGCCGTTCAACCGGTATAGTGGTTAGCGTCTCTGACTGCCGTGCCGAAGGGCCCGGGTTCGAATCCCAGAGAAGGCATAGATGTCCGTGCGGCATGGGGACACTCTAAATATGCGGCGAGCTGAAAGTCCTCTCAAGAGGTTGATGGTAGGGAAAGAGGGATCGGAGGGCCTCGGACCCGTTCTTCCGAGGTGCTCTCCATCAAAATTGGGGGCGGAACTGAGCTAAATCGCACTGTCACCTCTAAGGCTCAAGGAATATTGCTCAAGGCTAAACACGTTCACATAGAGCAACATGTATAAACATGTTATACAGACATGTTTATACATGTTCACATAGAGCAAACAGTGTGGGCGAGTATCTCGTGAGTGAACGCGTTGCTCTCGTTGCTATCATATTAGGCCGATCTCAGTTCCATTTAAAATCTTTGAGATGTCCTCGGACGTGGTATTCCTATGTGCGCATCCCCTTGAGCTGCTCCTCAAAAAGCTGTAAACCGCCCTATTAAAGGAATGACAGTTATTGATCTCCAGTGCACTTGACCACTTTATTAAAAGTATGGACTACAGAGCTTTACGAGCATTAGATGTGGTCATATCCTTTATTAAAATAATTTTCGTTTGTTTTCATACCAACGGTTTTTAAATGGCAAAATGTGAGTGACATATATTAATGATTACACATAGAATTAAATACATTTTATTTATTATAACTGAACATTACAGGATTACCTACCACCTTTGAAATATTGAATCAAGCAAATCATAACTTTTTAGGTTTTGCCGAACTTACTGTCCGTGCTTAATGTTTGGAAAGCAATGTATTTCTATCATCAGCTGAAACAATTAAACATAATGTATAATACTGACAGCATATTTCTTCATTACTCTGTTTTTCTTGACAATTAGGATAAACTGCTAGAATTTCTTACTTTTATGTGTACAAGAGAGTGACAAAGTACAAGAGAGTGGGCTTAATATATTTTGCATTTCTTTAATTATTGCAAAATGTAGAATAGTATGTAATACCCTCTAATGTATTTTCTGGTATACTTTAGGTATTATTATACTTATGATTGGTAAATTTTTACCGTGAGCGATTTATCAATTCAATTGAATTGTATTTACACATATCACGAGATTATGCTAATATACTATTCACTGTAATTCAGGGGTTAAAGTATTCGTGGTAGTTTCTGGAGCATATCACCAAAAAAGATTACACAGTTCTATTTTATTAAAACGCTATGAGCTAAACTGTATTTGAAGGAAAGTTACAAAAGAAAAAGGGCAGAGAATCAGTTATTTAATAATTTCCAGATAAAAAAAAAACCAAAAATGAACTGCAATTCCACACAAATTATCGCTTACTTCGGCAAAAACCACATGCGTAGAAAAAAATCATGAATTTCTAATTTCTACTTTGGCTTATTATACTACTAGCCAAGCAGTTTTACAGGCCAAACATTCTGCAGAAATAATAAAGACACAGCCAAGCTATAATGAACAAAAGTAAATTTGCTGATTTAATGAATTTATGATTCTTTAAAACTAAAGTTACTAATTTAAAAAAATGCAACAAAGACATAACTCTAAAACATGTCAACTGAGAAGATTTTTCTTTCAAGATTATGACGACTCATATTTCATTTTCCAAGAGCTGTTATAATCTTTTTAATCTGTCTCGAAACAGAATTATACCTTTGTTTTTAAGAACACCGTCACTAGAACTATGGAACAATTTTTATTCTTGCATTAATACATTTCGTCTTTTGCGTATGTAACGTGCTACAGTACAACATTAATCTTCTAGAAATGGGATGAAATGCACTTTGAGATGTCACTCTTTCTTTCCTTTTTTTTACGAGGTTACTGCTAGAATTAAAATTAATTTTGCAGTAAAGCAAATTCGCTACAAAGTTACTACGAATTTACAAAGTTTTCCATTAAATTATTGGAATGCCTGAACCAGAATTCAGAAACGAGCATTTCAATATAATGAGTGGATCATTTAATTTCGTGATATAAAGTTTGTCACGAATTATTTTAGGAAGAGCTATTGCAAATAAAAGTTAACTGACTTTAATAGGGGAAGCTAATATTATTATGCATTATAAAAAATGTTTCCTTTTTTCTTTAGATATAAGGAAAACAAATAAGCAATACAAACGATTCTTTAAAAGAATTCGATGGCTTTTCAAATGACGCCGAGAAAGCTTTGAAATGAAATCCAGATAATGACACTTCCTTTGCCCCTTAAATTTTACTAATCTTTATTTGTATCATTTCTTTCGAAAATGCTGTACGCACAATGTTTTGTGTTAACAGCTTAAATGGCATACCTGTATATTAATTCCATAATGGAACGAGAATGAATTAGTTGAATTATCCATTAACTGGAATAATATTATACTTGTTGTTTAAATAACCTGTTTTCTTATTTAGGTGCCGTGGCCGATGGTCGCGAGATCAGGCCTTTCCATGCAGGGTGCTCACCTTGGAGGACATAAACAAAGCTCTCCTCCACCATGATACCCTCGAATCGCAGCAACGTAAGTACATTTACTGTAAATATTTAGATTACTTTGTAGAGACATTATGTATTTTGGAAGCAGGAGAAGTGAAAAATGAGCAACGCTTTCTCCGGGAATCGAACCACGGGCCTCTGGAATAGGCGTCCAAAATGCAGGCTACTACATCACGAAGACACGCTAAGAAGGCGAGAGAAATACCTTATATACTATGCCTTTTTAAAGGGAGACTGGGGTTTTTAGGGAACCCAAGCGCCAAATCCTGTGTGTGGAGAATCATCATCCACCATCCTTTTTAGTTCAGGCCCACTGTAGGGGCTTTAGGTATTTTGAAAGCAGGTGAAAGGAAAATTGAGCAACGTCTGTAGAGTCATTAGGTTAATTGGAAGCAGAAAAGATGAAAAATATGTAACCGCATTCGGCGGGAATCGAACCACGGACCTCTGGAATACCGGCCCAGCGTGCTACCGTTATACCACGAAGGCACGCTAGGGAAATGGGAGAAATATCTTATACGCCTTCGCCGGGAATCGAACCACGGACCTCTGGAATACGCGCCCAGCATGCAGACCACTACACCATGATGGCACGCTAAAAAGGCGGGAGAAACACCTTATAACTTTAAGAAAGGCAATTAGTAAGTACTATTCCGATTTTCCATGTAAATTTTGGACCATGGAGTCTTTCGGGCGTTCCTTCTGTTGAACCTAAATGCTAACGAATTTCTGTTACAAAAATTAAGACCTTAGAAATTCTCTACGAGAGCAACACGCAACTATCTGCAATTAAATAGCATTACGTGACAGTCATTCGGTTAACCATAATTTAAGAACATTGTAGGAAATGTTCTTTACCGGCTTCTGTGATTGAGAGGTAACATGCTTGTGGCAAAGATAGTCAGCTGAAGTTCTTTTTTGCATGCTTCCTCTCCAACGTATATGGTCCTACCAGTGTCCAAATGGTAGAGAGTTACGCATATACGTAGAAGCGCATGTCCTTGTGGCCAGGAAGGCAAAGCGGACCATTTTCTTAAGGGGACTCATACACCTTAAACCCCTCATGATCTTCGAATATGTGACTGTTGCAAGAATTGGGGTATTTTATTTATTTTAAAAGCAACTACTTCCAACTTTTTACAGGTGATTACATAACATAGCTGCTTTGGAAACTAGTAACCCAAAGTTTGTGTTGCCACAAATATTTTTGTAATTTCAATCCTCTTTGTGACAAAATATTTCGCCATGTTTCCACCTTGCGCGCATGATATTTTAAAAATGGCTAATGGTACATACTTGAAATTGGATGGGAATTCTTGTATGGGCATTATTTTCTAACTGAACCAACAATCTGATGAATATTTTAATATCGAAAAATTTATGGACGAAATATTACAAATTTTTGTTAATAAATTACATTTTATAAACTCAACTCAAAATAAAATAAAAATTTAACATGAAATTTTAGAATTTTAGGTTCACAGTATTTAATTTCCAAATGTTAGTTTCCGAAAAGCTATATATTAAATATGGAATTAAATTATGAAACTGAATGTTTTAAACTGTGCGCCGCAAGTTGGAAACATGACGAAAAATGTTGTCACAAAGCGGATTAAATTATAAAACTATTTGTGGCAACACAATCTTTCTGATTACTATTTCAGAAAGCAGCTATATTATGTAGTCAGCTGTAAAAAGTTGGTAATAACTGCTTTTAAAATAAATAAGTTATCCCAATTCTTGCAACAGTCACTTATTCGAACATCTTATGGGTTTTAAGGTGTACGTGTCCCCATAAGGCTGCTCAGGATTTGAATTTCAACTCTCGTTCATTCCTAAGCAAAGAAGTTTTTTGCATGATTGGTTTTCGTGTATTTCATCATGTGTAACGTGAATATAAGCCAGTTTTCCTTAGAAAGTTCTCCTAAAAGACATCCGTCCTGTCTCTTATATTAAAAGATCCACTTTACAGGGGCTACTTGTCTAACGACAAGAAAGCCGAGACAGTGCTAACTCAAGTCGACGCACTCATCTATTCATATAAATGGTCAGCGCAGCACTTCGGAGGAGCAGCATGTCACTAACTCATTTGATATCGAGACATGATCCGTTCTCTTTATACGTATTTAGATTTGGGATAATGGCCGCATATGAATGTTCCCATAGTGAGCAAAGCAGACCATTTCACCTTTTAAATCCCCTAAAACTTCTCTACAGCACCTGCTGAAACCAACTCTTGAGCACTAGCTTTCGTAAACCAATAATAGAGTCGAAAACGCAAGTACCAGTGCAAAGATATCCTTAATAATGTCACAATGTTCAGCCAACTATACATTGCCTCACGGAACAATCCTATGCCAATTTACTAACACTGTCAGTGAATGACATTCATAGACACTTTTCCTTGTTGAGTGGCACAACATTTACAGATCTCAGATTTAATTTAATATATCAAGATTAATGTATCGTGCTGTGAAGTTAATATATTATATTGCATAGTTAATGCACTGCACTGCTAAGCTAATGTACTGTAATTAATAATTTATGCATTATTTTGAAAGGCTTATAAATTGCAAAGCATTGCTAATGTACTGCAATATATGACTAATGTATTGTAGTGTATGACTAATGTATTTTTATATGATTAATGTAATGAACTGTACTGCAGTTTAAGATAAGGCCATTAAATGGACCATTTAGGCTGCCATGAACCTATGCCTATAGTTGACCAGCTTTCCAGGCGATTATTAAAGGTTTACGTGCACAAGAATGAGGAGTCATGTGCTCCGAACAAATACGACTTCTAGTATATCAGACAAAAATTCAATATTGATTCAAGAATTTCAAAACATACGTAAAACTCTTTCTTTCATTTTTATTTTCTTCATTTTTTTATCCTTCTTTCATCTTCTCTGATGCTCATCTTAAAAGATGACAGTGACCTCAACTGAGTCTTCAAATGTTTAGCTAGGTGGGTTTGAGCAATACCTTTTGTTAACAACCTAAATCTACCAACAAACTACTTTCCTAAATATATATGTTTCAGAAAATTCTGTTCACTAACAAAACAATACTTTTAAGTAAGAATTTAAAAATTGCATTCATTTATTTAATACAAAAACTGTTGTCAAATTCTGGCATTGATAAAACTCCAAAATATGAAAGCCCCAATTTGCCTTTAATCAAATATTTAAAAAGTATTGAGTCACTGAAGTTTAATTTCAGCTTTTTCTCTAAACAAAGTAGTTTCTTCTGTTCTGCAAATATTGAAAGAGAGCGCTGCAAAATGCAACACATTCTTCAAAGATCTAATGCCAAATGAAATTAAAATTATTTGCTTCATATCTTCTTGTAATTATTGCTTCCTGTTTTATTAACCATATGTAGAGTTGCATTATATACATACAATAAACTGAAAACTTTCCTCTAGAAAGAAAAACTCTTTTTTATAGTTTAAAAACTCTCAAAATCTGTGTTTAATTTCTAGAATAATCGCACTGTCTTATTCGATCTTTTATTATCTTCATGAGCAAATTTATATTTTTACTCTGAGAGGAAAATAAATATCTGAAATTCTTTCCAGGGACAAGAAAATGAAAACTATTATTAGAATTCTGAATGCTTCAGCAAATATAGCGGTTCATTACCAGATAGGTTAAACATAGATGAAAACATGGTTTAGCTGCCTCACTATACTGCAATTAGGAAAGTTTGTGGGCAGACTTCCGTAACCGGAATACTACAGCCACCGAAAACACTGGTAAATTTAGAAATCTAAATTCTCACTGACATCGAAGTAATCAAGCTCCTGATTAATATAGATTTTCTGCATGGTAAAGTATTATTTGGAAACACTAAGCAGCTTAGTTGGTATATGATGCATTTAAATTTAGTAAGGATGTAAATATAACCCAGCCTACCGCAGATATACAAAAATAAAATAAAATTTAGTTAGGTTCTATATTTTAATTTATAAAGCACATGACGACCTGATACGTTTCGTTTCCAATGGTCGGAGACTTGCTGAAAATCATCCCTCAGGCATGATAGAACCCATCAGTCATTTAGCAGTTTCATCATTGAGAGATTTTCCCAGGGTGCACCACATTTGTTGGACCAATTCACTTTGGGCTATCAGTCAGTATTCCCTAAGTACCATTCCCCTCAGAGCGATATAGACTAATATATAAAGTAATGAATATCTTATCCAGAATTGGAAGCAATCCAGTGAGTAGATACTCGTCTAATTCAGATATGCACAAGTATTTATAGCATATAAGTTTAAAGTTTAAAAAACTAATGTTGTTTTCTTCAAACTGGAAGCAATTTTTCATTATTAATTCTGCATTTATGGACCTAAACAGCTTGATTTGATCTTTGGTCTACTGATCTTTATGTAAACATCTGATCTGCTGGCAACTGGGAGTGTTACAGTATAGAAAGTAAAGAGTCTGAGAAACCAAATGAAAGATTTTCGTTTAACTTGGTAAGCGTCACGATTGAAATACAAATAAGAAGACTGCTGTACAAAGTATACGTGTAAGGCACAGATAGAAAAGTATATTGCTTCTTCTTGAACTATAAAAATTAATTCTTGTAAAATAAACTATTTCACAATTTCATTACTAAAACTATTATTTAAAATTTACATAAATTTCTGAACGCCCAACAGCTGTGGTCTTTCCCATGTTCTCTACTGTCGCTAAATTTGACTTCAGTTGAAGATGTGTGAGACATAGTCACAGAAATTGATGCGTCCAAATAGAAGAATAGAGTAAAACAGATTACATCATTTATCCAAGAATTTTTCTGTTCTACAATAGTAAACTCTGATGACGTTACCACCATTCTGGAAGTTGAAGGTTCTACATTATTTCACTTTGACGTTATTGTTCATCTAGCAGTTTTGCCTTCATTTTACTCAAGTCTTTATTCCTGCTTGTGGTGGAGGAATTCGGCTGAGTATTTCTCTTTTGGCTTATATTTCGGTTCTCATTATTCTGACATTGCCGAAGTGAAATATGA